ACTGTTGTCCACAAGTTCAACTGGGTCGCCGTCAACTTAAGTGTGGATCCTGACACTGTCTCCTTCGCGTACAGATTCAGCGGAAGTGTCCCCGCATTGTATTTTGTTGTGTCCGCACGAACACTTCTCTGTCGAACACCTTTCCCAAATGTCTCTCGGAACAGAAGCAGCACTTTGATTTTATCCTGCGATAGCTTGATATACTTCAGGAACCCTGTTGGCGTTGCATACTGCTTATGTTTTTTTGACGTGAAGTAGTGGTACCCACACAAGGTCTGCTTCTTGATCACCTCTGTTACTGCCTTTGTAAAGTCCGTGGCACAGTCTCAAACAGTCGGCGTCTCTGTCCTCAGCCTGAGCACACTATGCAAGTGTTCGTTTACCAATGTCAACATTGCGTTTGTGTCCATTTGAAACGAAGAGTTAACCCCAGCAACGACAGACTTTAAATCCGAGAGCATCTCGTGCAACATCCGTATTGACTTGACAGTCTTTGATGCAGGTACTCCATGTGGACCTTGCAATGTGTTTGTCCGTATTTCTAACAGCTGTTTGGCCTCCTGTGCCATGGACAGTAGGGAACGTTCAACTACCCTCAAGTCGTCGATAGCTACTCCCAGAACTGTATTGGTGCCCGACTATGTTGGGGCAACGGGCCTGCATGCTTTAGATCATATACTTTAATTTAACGTAGTGTGGAGGTCGGCTTTGCCTGCTGTTATCAGATTGGACGCGTACGTCCATGCCTTANTACTTTAATTTAACGTAGTGTGGAGGTCGGCTTTGCCTGCTGTTATTAGATTGGACGCGTACGTCCATGCCTGGTGGTTCTCCACCACAACAATTCTCTTCACATCTCGTTCAAAAAGAGATAATTCCATCTCAACTTTTGAACACCTCGTTTGAGGCAACGTTCACCAAACCGATGCTCCTTTTTAAGTTCCCTGAGGACATCAGAAAACTCGCTGTCGGTGCGATGAGTCACATAAATATAGTAATTGTCCAGGGCAACATCATTTCCTTTTTTGAAAATGTATACCCCCGCGCTTACAACTTTATCAGCCATGTTGTTGTTGCCAAAGTCGAAGGTCACCAAAATTGCCGAAGATTTCCGAATGCACGTTTAGACCTAATAATTGGTCGCGAATCGGACTTGATTTACGGAAGGAGCATTGACATTCTATTTTTTACATTAATAACGTAATATAAGCGTGTTGGTTGCTTTTAGCACATAATTTTGTTTAAGTATGCTTCTGATTCTCCCGCCCCCGTACGTCCCACCTCCCGGCCCCCTAACTCCCGGTTCCCTCCCCCCTAGCTCCCGTGTCCCGCCCCCTTATTCCCGGTCTCCCACCCCCCTGTCGACCACAGGGCCACGTTTCAATCACACATATGCTATACTGATATGGGTCACAACACACATGTGTGTTGTGACCCATATCAGTATAGCATATGTGTGATTGTAACGTGGCCCTGTGGGTCGACACTAACACTAGTCCGATAGTCCTTGATTAGTAGATTTATAAAATAAGATTTTTTTTTTAAATTTAGAAAACTGCTAAAAACAACATATAAATGCATGATGCCAAAATTTTCTTAAAATTCACCATAGTTTTATGGCAGAAGTTATTTAAAGGCCCATACAGTCGATTACTTTTGATGTTTTGTTCTGTAGAATCTAGATCACAATGTTTCCTGCTCAGGAAATCTTTTACTAGTTACATTGACGAAGGACCTGTAAATAATCTATTCAACTAGTCAAGTGTACTACCAAGCAAAAAAATTAGTGTGACCCGTCTAACTCTGTAAACGGGACCAAAAATTGGCGTTAACCATGCTACAATAATGTTTTAGTGTTGTGTAAGCGTGCAAGTGTTTGTGAATGCCGGGGAAAGGGTATGTTGGTGTACTGGTCTCCTTGTAATAGCGCGGATCGGATGCCGACTTTATAGTGCTATCTCGCTGAAACACCATGCCGAAGGCACCCAGCACAGCATTCCGCCCGGTCACATTATACTGACAAGGGGAGAACCAGTTGTTGCCATTACCCTCAATGCTAAACGTTAAGCAGGAAATAACAACTATCATTGTTAAGGAATTTGGTATGTCCTGGCCTTGAGGACAGAACCCATAACCTTCCTCACCTTGGCGAACGCTCAACATTAAAGCCAAAAGTGAGGTATTACAAAGCTAGGCACAAGGAAATGAAAGGTAGTTAAAAGTAGAAACAAAGATTAAGATCCAAAATGTTGCGATGGGTGCAGCATATTTATTTTGATCGCTTTTGTGTCCCGAGGACGTAAATTAAAATCCCCAATTCTGCAGGGGGTTCCCGCATTAGTCGCCTTTTACGATACATGCTGAGGGTAACAGCAGGTGTATCCTTTCTCAATCTTCGACCTGCAGGGGTGAATCTATAAGGAAAAAAATAATGATCTATGTGGCTACAAGTGCAATTGAAAAGTGATTTGCTAGCGTTTTGTTGCATTTAAACCATTCTGAACTAAAAAAGCAATTTTAGTTCATAACCAAATTCATTAAAATATCTTATCAGATTTAATTGTCATAAATGACCAATGTTGCGTTCAAATAATAGAAATAATCAATCTCCAAATCAGTTGGTATGTTTGTGGCAACATAGTCTCATATTCAAAATAATACAGATATATGATAATAATTAAAAAAAAAACACACTTTTATACCGATATTCATCATTGTGAAAAACAAAAACAAAAAAAGTTGTTGCAATTATGAACATCATTATTGTCAGTATTACAAGTATTAGTAATATTATATCTTCTTCTTTTTTCCAACAGGGACAGTTTTAGTGGTTATGCAAGGCATGCTTACAAAAGCCAAGTTCTAACAACAGTAGACAGATCAACAGTCAGATCTCGCAGAGTCCGGGACACCATGCAGGATGAGAATGACTCTGTACTGACTAATAGCGACAAAACACGGGAAACTAGAGACTATTCACTGACCGGTCGAGTTGGCTTGCAGACTGATAGGAATGTGACGCAGGTGGATAAAATTTCAACACAGACCGGTGGATACTCAACCAAGACTGTTAGCGGTAATGGTATGCAGTCGGACAGGAACATCGCTCATATTGACACAGATCAACGAAATGATGAGAGGAATGGTATACAAATTCTTGGACAAAGAAGTGTCATCTTCGAAGAGAGGAACGACGCTTTTCTGAAGGTATTTCAAAGTTCTGTAAGAGGAGTACACTATAGCTATAGCCCTAAAATGCCTTTACCTTTTTTTCATTTTCAGCATCGGAAAGACCATAAATTATGTGTATTTGTATTAGGCAGCCTTTGAATCATTAACGGGTATTTTTTGAAATTACAAATCTGTTATGTATCCTGCAGGAAATAAAGCATCATAGGATAACACTCATTGGCTTTCTGTGGCACAGTAATGTTAAATTATCTCAATGATTTCAATCTAACGTATTTCACATCTTAATGCCACTGTGTAAGAAAACTCTGGACAAATTGATCATGGTTTGGTTTGTTTTTGGTTTCATGTTGTTTCACGTCCCCATACCAGCTAATGTCATTTACGGACGTGACTCCATGTGTGTTGTGTATGCGTGCATGTGTGCATGTGTTGACCATTGTTTTATTCTGCTGAACTTAATTGTAATAATAAATATGAGTACTATAATTTACAGTTTTTGTCAGTCAGGCCAAGTGTGACGTCATTCACCCCAGTCATCAGTGTCACGAGTGTTGAGAGACTCCGACTTCGGAAGACTCTTTTGGCGCGGACAATCGCAAAGTGACGCTCCCTAGTAATTCACCTGGGTTATAGTATATTTTTTGGGGATGAATATTGTGAAAATTACTTCATAAATTAAAAACTGCAAACATATGGTGTGTATTTTGATATCTATATTCAGGAACAAGAACATTCGAGACGACAGACACATCATGATGACATTTCAGCACGGGATTCTAAATATAATGAGATGGTAAGATAATCAGCAGGGGTGGATTTGAGAATGCGGGCGATACTTGACAGATCGAAGGTCAGAATGCCCGAGGGAAAGGAGGGGATGGCTACAACCGCTATTGAAATCTTTTGAAGGGGTTTTGAAATCTGAAAGCGTTCTGATGCGACAAAGGTCATTTTCAGAGAAAAAATTAAATACAAAACGTTTGATTTAAAAGATTGCCAAGTATGGCGAGGTGACTGTTTTTTTCTTTATTTAGACTTTCTTAGACTCAATATTTGATTTAATAATTGAATAGTCAACAACCAAAACACAATGTACATGCACCATTTCAATTTATACTCTGAATACTTCACAGCCAGTTACGAGGAAGATCTCTCTGGCCAAGTCACTGTCAAAATCTATAGTAACCGGCACTCTGCAAGCTCATCATTCAAGGACACATTTCAACAAAGGTCTTCCTCAAATGAAAATGACAGGAAATGCAATGATGAAGGATTTTATGGGAATAAATACTCAGAAGTAAGTACTGATCATATAACAAAGAGCAGTGATGATATTTGGAGCTAGGCATTAATGACAGAAAAAGTGACAAATACAAAAGAAGTGAAATAATGAATGTATACATGTAGTTGCCATGAATGTCAAATGAGCATCTCTACTGCATAACCTTGTTTTTGAATAACATTGAAACAGCAGGACATTTGCTGACTGTTGTACATTTGTAAGTAAGGGACTGATTGTCATTTCTGTGAGTTGCAATGCGTTATTTACCGACGTTAATTGAAAGACTACTTGTCATCATTTTTGCAAGGCTTCATATTGCATTCTTTCAAGATGCAACGGAAGGAAAAATAAACAGTTTGTTAATTTTGTGAGTAGCTATGCTTCATTCATCGATGCTGAAAAGGGAGCATTTTTGTGATCGCTCTCCTTGCTTTATGCACCAGATTGAAAGAAGACTGCTATCTGTCATTTTTGTGTGTCTCCTGACTTTATTCACTAAGGTCAAAAGGAAGACAAGTATGTGTGTCTTTATGCCTCCATCACCATTCTTTAAAGAAAGGTATTTCTGTAAGACTATATGCTGTATTTACTAGTTGAAAGTTATTATCGCATAGTCATGATATCTCTTCATCTCAGAGCTTTGTTAACCGAGATTGATAGAACGACTGTCTGTATGGATGCGTGTTTTATTCACCAGGGCTGATAGAACGAAAAACCAGCAGAAAAAGAATGTTCGAGCTAGTATGAACTGCCTTACCCTCCTCGTTCATGATTTTAAGGTAAAACGTTGGGCATTCATTATTTTGTTTTTATTATTATAATTTTGGTTGATTGAATATTATTGATTGGCTGTTTTTTGTGTGTGTGATTATTTGATTGAATGATTTTTTTTATTTTTATATAGATTTGCTGTTTTGATTTCTTGGTTATGAATGCAGATTACTGATTTCATAAATTGATTGATTTAGTGCTTGTTAATATCGGATGATTGCTTTGATTGATAATTATGTTTTCATGGCCCATCTTAATAAATGGTCATACAGGTTCAAAAAGGTAAAGGTAAGAGTGTTTAGTTGTCATCTCAAGCCATCATTATCATTTTTATTCTACAGTCGAAATTGTCAGAGTAGCTCGGAAACAGTTTATTTGATACTTGTGCATTACATTAATTGCTCAGATAGGCATTGATCCAACAGAATGTGTGAGATTATAGTAAAGTATTTGTGCATCCGAATTCTGTCTAGAGTTCTGGATGAAAATCTAACCTGAATATTCTCTGCAAAGAAGTTCAATGACAGAATCACTATAATCGCAGATGTTTAGTCTAGTAACTTGAAGAAGCGATTTTACACCATTCATAACCATAAAAGAAATCTAACCTCATTGATCTTAAGTTTTGATGTCGAGTGACAATTTCTGGTAATTAGCAAATCTCTCAATATATCTGAAGTTTTTTAATTGCATGTAAAATAATATGTACACTGGTATCATGTTAGCAGTGTGTTCTTTAATATCTTCAGAAAGCGTTGTTTAACAAGACATCGAGAAAACACACACACTGCTGATGGAACCCTTATTCTGGTACTCATTTGACATTTTACCTCTTTCAGATCTGGTACAGGCGATGGAAACGCAAACACTGGGAGCTGCCTCTCCTCAAAAAGTACATAGAAAGGATAGAAAGTGAGTTATCCATAATGACATAAAACAAAAATTACAAGTGGTCAAGTGATAATAATAATTAAATAATAACCAAGAGAAGATAACTCTGCAATACGCAAAGACGGAATATAGTGTGTAAAATTACTCTTAAGTGCTTTACATGTGGATAATTAATACGTGTAGTATTAGTGATAATAGATAAACAAAAAAAGGCATACAAATCACCATTTTGCATTAAGTAAAAGGACAAATATATCAATATGCATATAAATGAATATACAAAGGATGTGCAAAGAGCCTTAATGCAGACTTGAAGAGATGGGTCTTTATACCTTCTTGAGTTTGGCCACAGTTTTTGACGATTTAAGTAATTAAATCAATGATGATTAGAATGGAAGCACGATAAATCGCTGAAGAGCTACCCACCCCAATCCCGTCTTAAATTCCCTTTGGATTGTATTTATACATTCAGGGGTCATACTAAATAACTACACAACTCACTTCGCAGAATGGTTGATACATTGTATCATACTCTCCGCGTCTGTCTGTCATATTTATTGACATATTTATGATGAAATGTACATTTATATAAACAATAATCCAATATACCCAAGTTTGGTTATTGTCATGTTCGAAACAATAACATTAACGGGTCTTTGCGGGTTTAGAATTATAGCTGACTGCCATAATGCTGTTGTAGGTAACTTTGGGTCTGGCCTGGGCTCTCTATTTGTATTTAATCGCTGGGTGCTGTGTCTGAACTGTGGCCTGAGTCTACTTTGGTCAGCCCTCGTAGTCCTGCCTACGGCCATTACATTCACCTACCACCAGGTCACAGTGGAATTCAACTTCAAAAATCTGCTGGATGGAAGGGTAAGTATTTGGAGAGTGAAGCACTGACAGCATCCGTTCAGGGCTCATATTAATATCTCAATACCTTCTGAGTGATGAGTCGACTCATAGGAAAATTTACTGTAGACACGAAGATGTACATTTTATTTGTTGTTGTTTTCAGTTTATTTGTTAAATCTTCTGGACAATTTCATATGTGCGATATGAAGGTCGATGTTTTTGATATTGTTCATGAGTGTGCCTGGTTGTTTTCTTACCACTATCAGTTTCACTTAAAGGACATGACATTCCATCGATTTGACCAAGTTTTACATTGTTGCGACAGCGACGCTTTTAATGTTTCTATGCATATTTTTCTATTCTTTATATTTTCCAATAGTTTCTTATCATTTTTGTGATTATATTACCTTCCGTTTTGTTTCCTTTTTTATTTATTTGTCTTCACACAAGTCGTTCCCATTTAAGCACTTAAGTGATTGCTACCAGACCATCATATGTATCAATAATAAAAATGGCATTTAAATGACGCAATGATAATGAGACTTTTGGTAATTGTTTGAAAATTGTATTGAATGTATACAGTCAGGATGGGTGACTGGGTGGTGATACGGTATCCTGTGCCATGAGCTGCGATGATAACACTATTAGATTTTATTCCTGTTTCAGAGGGCACTGGGGTTATTCTTTAGCATATGCAGGTAAAAGAATACACGGTTAACATATTGTGCTAGTGTAGATTGTTGTGTGTAAGCGTTTGGAGATTGCAGGAAAATTTGGCTTAAAACGTCTGTTAGCGTTTTAGCGTACCACCCCCAACTCTTTACTATTTGTTTAAGCAATAAAAAAGGTTAAATAAAAAAATCTTGACCCTTTAGTTTGGGGAATAAAAGTTAAAGAGGTTTTTTTTTGTTATTCTCATTATCATTTCAACTTATAATTCTCTACAAGTGTTCATTTCTGATGAATTTCTGTGGTTAAAAGGATGACATTAGGTAAGCATACTTTATAGGGAAAATGAAAGATATAAGCTTCGGCCAGGTTTAGCGAAAGGTGGTTATTAACTTGATAACATTAGTACATTGTAACTGAGATTAATTACAGGGAGCAGTGGGACAGTCATGGCTCTTCTTCGGAAAATACCAAGAGAAAGTGGGAACCCATTACTGGTTATCCGTGGCATACCTGTTTCTTCTCCTTATCACCTACTTTGGCAGTTTGATGCTGATCATGAGGAGGTAAATATATCATTAAAAAACTGTTTAGATATCTGCCTATAAACAATCTTATATCAAACTAGATAAAAAAAACTCGGAGAAACATTTTGTATGATACAAATTTAGTATGCAATATCATCAAGACACTGCTATCATATACTTCATTTTTTTATCATTTTTTTTACTGCAGCAGAAATACGGTTTTGTTCCCAGTTGAATTCTCCATTAAAAAAGCGAAATATACATCTGGAAATAACATTGGCCACTGTATCAGCAGAAAATGTCGCATGACTGCTATTTTTGTTCAAAGTTCTAATGCTCAGAGCCATTTTTATGACAGAAACTGTTTGCTTACAATACAACCAAAGGATTTTCGGGAGTTACTAAAATAAAATCTGAAGTGGAAACATAATAAGGAATTTAACTCATGTTTTATTTCTAAAGTTCCCGGTATGCCATTAAAGTAGTGTCATTATTATGTAAACACGACATGTAACAAAAACCATAAACACACTTCACATATGGTCAAAACTTGTAAAATAAAAACTGATTGTATAATTGACAAACTTTGAGATAAACAGATATTAGAGGTACCAAAGTTCATATATATACTAAGTATACAAATAAGCAACCATACATGGTGTAAAAGTTAAGACCTGGAGATAATTGAAATAGTAAAATTACTTAAATATCTTAATAAATAGCTTATGACATCATTTTTTAATTGATGACGTTTAGAGAATTGGGATATCCAAATTTGTAATAACGATTGTATACAATCATTTATGTGAATTGCAGTATTGGTGAAGCCAGTCAGCCTAAGTCGGCTTCCCCTCTTCAGGGCCACAACAAATTCTCCCTTCTCCTGTTTACATCTTGGGATCACTCCATAACCAATGAGGAGGCGAGCAGTAACATAGTGCAGGGTATAGCCAGCATTATTAAGGTAAAACATACCAGGTGGTTTGATACATTAACTTTAATTACAAAGTTTACCAAACGAAATAATATTATTGGGAGATACATAGTTCTGTTCCATGAAAACATACAATTATTTGATTTATAAATTCTGGACAAAAAGTGAAAACTATGGGCAAAATAGTATTCAACTTTAAGAACAAAAGGATGATGTTATAGGTACAATACTTGAGTTATATATTACCAGGACAACTTGTACGAGATAAAAGCGTCAGCTGCTGAGCGTAACCGCAGTGTGAAAGAGAAGCGAGGCATTTACTGCCGCCGTGTTCTCGCCTGGTTCATCACCATGTAAGTACACCGTACTCCATCGAAAGTTTGTATCTCTTAATCAAATTAATTGGAAACATGAATGAAAGCGTCTTCTTGTTTTTTTTAACACTGTGTTTTGATTGGGGGAAGGGGTCTACAGTTTAATTATCGATACCTATATATAAACAGCTCAAGAACAGCAAAAAAACATTGAAAGCATAATTATAACCATTCAATATTCGGAACATTAAACTAAACAATGGATGAAAAGAGTTTGAAAAAAGGAACCAATAAGGGAAAATTAACTTGAAATAGTCATGACAGTTATCAGAAGCTAGATTTATCTATAGGAGTACATTAAACTTGACCTTTTACCTTCATGTACACATACAGAACTTTAGTTAGGTTAATGTTATTGGCTATAGTTTAAATTGTACACTCCGGAAACGTTAAATTATTTATGAAAACTGAATTAATTTAATAATGACAGTAGCGTGTTAGGGAGATAACACTTAGCAAATAGCAGAAATATGTGTAAGGGAGCAATAGCCTCATTTGGACTTTGAAGTATCCAAAATTATTGATTTCCCCAAAAGATCTTTCAATGACCCTAATGACTCATTGTAACGTGGGATGAGCGTTGAGTTGTTACACGGCAAATGAAAACAAGATTTCGAATACATATCTACAATTTATTAACAACATAAACAAATCACACTCACACACGCACAGTTTTCACACAATAATGATCCTATATATATAACACAAAAAGTCTCTGCTGCAACATGAGGGAGTTACAGTTCTTACACTATGTTGTAAGTTTCCTCGTGCTCCGACGACAATGTGTTTCGCTAACAACTCAGCAATCAGATGACACTGACCAATGTGCACACAGGACACCAAGTTCCACAAATGACAAGTTCCACACAGGACACCATGTTGGTGTATAGTACCGATATATATGGTTACCACACTGCTGGTAATGGGTGAATGGAATTACATTTCCAGTGCAGCCTCCGACAACAGTCACCGTTTGTGGTGTCGGCTGACGGCCACGGCTGTGTTCCCTGTCATCTTCACCACCAGACTAACTCTTGGCTGGTGTACATCGTAACCCTCACATGAAGCTTTAAAAATAATAACAAAACACCTAGTAAAACTCGCACACATATCACACAATTGTTTATAGAAATATACCTAAGTTTAAGCCCTATCAATTTTACACCAGAAATCGATTAAACCTCTACAAAATATTTTGAAAATATCAGCTAGAAAACATTAAGTGATATGATATCGTGCGGGTTCAGCGTACAACAAATATCATAATTTATACAACACCTGAAGTTCGATATGGCCACTCATACACACATACGCACTCACCTGATCATAATGTACTATATACATAACATAAATATACGTTGTAATACGTAGAATTACATATAAAACAGATATCAATATAGAAAGTTACAGCAAACAATTTCAATAATATTTGCAAAACCTTCCTAACAAATCATTTTACACGATGTAACAATGAAACGCATGACTGAACCGAAAGAAAATAATAATATTTTTGTTTCCTTTTTAGCCTGTTGGTTGGGGGAGGGTGTACACTCATCGTCTTCCTTGTCATCTATAACGTCTCCAGTATCATAAAGCAACAGGTAGGTATTTGTATTAGATATTCACTATCACTGAATACTTCTTGAAATACATTTAAATGAACACAGAAACAAAATAACAAACCTGCTTGATAACACTTTTTATCTAAATGGTGATGTATTTCAGCATTCCAATATCAATACGTTTCTGTGTCGTATAACATCTTGTTTGTCCTTTAAAATCTTATCATCTCAAGTTTTAATTGATAGATATGTCTAGAGATGGTCTTTTTAGAAGTTTTAGATGAACATACAATTTAATATACAGATGCCATAGCAGATCTCCGTTGTCCATTTCCGTTTCTTTTAAAACCCTGCTCCTCTCGTACAACATATGTTCATCCTTGGGACCAGACAATCACACGTTCTATAATGGAAAGGGGCGCCCCTCCCTTTGGACAGAGGGACGGGCTTTAAAGGAGATTTCGTCCTTCAAAAGACTACTTCTGAAAAGAGGATAATGGATCCTATTTCTCCTTAATGTCTGCATCAATTGGCATCACATTTAGTTTGAAGCATCAATAGGGCAAAGTACTCATATTAAAATATAAAAAACGTATGAATATAGGAATTGTGAGAGTCGCGGACGTGATGAGAATAGATCTATTCTATTCTATGATGGCTTGATTACACGAGAGGTTTGACTTTTTACCTGGGCGTCGTGTTGTAAGGGCTTACTATAAATTTTCTTTCTTTACAAAACGTTATAGAAATGTGCAATTGTTGGCCATGACCACACTTGATATCTTCGGTCAGTGAGGACAATCAAATTTTTGTCTCTGTGTCTTCTAATTGGCCGAGATGGTTTTAACAGGTTAATATGAATAATTCTATCAAAGATGAGGACAATGTCCTCTGATTGCTGATTGACATACTTGACTTCATATAAATTCACCTACCATTTCATCTACCAACTGCTCTTATCGTAATATTTTAGTTTAGTAAGAAAATATAATAAGACATATTGACAACCCTGATTTCAAGTGGTTTTTTTAAATAACAAAGGAAACGGTGAAGTGATACTTGCCAAATGAGCCTTTTCTAATGTTTCAGGGGAGTGTTGGACTATCTGAAGATAGCATAGTAGTTGTGTACAGCACTCCGATCATCTTCACACTCATCAACATTCTGGTGCCTATGTGTATTAAACTGGTAAGCCATCCTTCTAGTATACCAGTATTCTATAATTGAAGCAAATTATGTAGTAAGGTACCCGCATCACTAAAAAAAAAAAATGTAACTTTGGATTGGAAACGATTTTTACGTCATGACTATATATCACTTTGATAAATCATTTCTGAAAAGAATATTATACATTGCGGGACTAAAAAAAAAGATTAAGATGAAATGAGCAAAATATAATCGACAATCGTGTTTCTAGAACCTGTAGAATTCAGTTGGGCTAGACCGGAATTTGAACCTTGATCCTAAAATTATAATATTGCTTTAACCGACTGATTACCGGTGAATCCTAGCACAACTGTGCCACAGTGCAGTGGGACACGGATTCTTATACCAACAATCATCTACATCTTTATCAATACTTTCTCACCTCTTACTCTTTCTTCAACTAACAATTTCACTATCAGATCCTCTCCTTATTCCTCTTATCCTAATATTCCCTTCCACAAAATACAATCCCTCCATATCATTTCTGATCTCCCTACCCTCAAATACGATCAGATAGCTTCACCCCACAACTCATCAGGCCATGTCTCGGCCAGAAACGCTCATATCAAATCACTTTGACAAGGAAAAACCCAACTTTCACATCTCATCATACGAACAATATCCCTTTCCATGACAGGCTTCACATTGACCTCCTTTCCAGCCTTCCCATTCCCCCTGATTAAGTTGTAAAAGCACATACGAAAGATATGAATTTAGATCTGCATGCATCATGATATTGCGTGCTAAAGAGGTTTTTTTTACCTGAAGATATAAAAGGTTTGGTAAACTCTATCGGGTGCAGAATGTCAAAACCGAGACCTTTCCAGAATGTTGAGCCGACATTCTATAACCGTGGGCAGTTATTCCCTATTCCCTATTACTACATAATGATTTATTACTTTCTCTCTCCTCTTACCTGGCTATATGGTAATAACTGACAGTGATATTATATGAATTCAACAATAAAAATACTTGAAGTAAATTTTCTAGATAACGTATATAAATTAAGAAGAGCATATTTGGAAGGGATATGTAAAGGTATGCCATACTGAAGGTGATGCGGTTTGCAGACTCTTCACAACTAGTTTCTTTGCCATGAGGTGATATCAGATGTCAACTGTGTTTATGGCGGTAAACATTCTTCAGCTGACCAAAGAGTCAAATTAATGACGTTAATCACCATATTTAAATGACGTCACGTTTCAGAATTTCAGGTATTATGGTATTGGTACTAAACATTTTGAACTCGAACTCGAATTGCCTCTAGCGAGGATTTAGAAAACAAAATAGCTCCCGAAGTTGGGGCTACTGGGTGCACCTATTTAGGTAGATATATCCCAAAGGACAGTTCCACACGCAAAACGTGTGCATTGCATATGCCGCATCAGTTTGAGAAGAGTTATAATAAATTGTATCTGCTGCAGTTACCCAAGATGGAGAGTTATCACAGTGGCAGAACAGAGCTCTATATCACATTGGCTCGAATCTTCTTCCTACGAATGGCAAACCTCTTTGCCCTGCTTATATCCCTGTACACCAATATAAACTCTCACGTAAGTTTAATGTTATTTCGTTATACACCAACATAAACTAATTTGTAAGCTTAATATAAAGTCGCTGTACACAACAATGAACTCCCTTGTAAATTTAATACCAGCTCACTGTACAGCATTTGAAACTCCTTTGTTAGTTGAATAGTAACTCGTTTTACACAATATAAGTGAGTGTAATGGCAAATCTCTGCCTACCAATATACAAATGTAGCTGAGATATCCCAGTCAATGTTCTGAGTAAAAATGTTAAACTTTGTCACCTTAACTACGATTTTATGTATCACAAAAGATGACCTGAATGGTAATGTTTGTCACATTTATTTCTTAAACAGATTGAGGGTGGCGGATGTCTTGGAACTGTCATAGGCCAGGAGGTCTACAAGCTCGTCGTCGTGGATACCATTTTACATGTAAATTTATCAAAGAAATCTATGCATATAACAATGTTCATCTTCTAAGTGAAATCATAAAACAGACACCCGCATTGCTAGATCATTTTTATTCAAAGGATTTGTTTTAAGATCAATATATTTTTAGAATAAAATAGCTCACTTCAATTCAAATATGGTATTATTTGTATCACCTTTAATGACAACTAATTGCATTTGCTTTGCAAATTCAAAAAGGTTTCTACACAGATACACAGATCTTATTCTAACTATAGGAATAATTACATTTCCTCCGCTGTCAGCTCTAGTATATAAAAGTTGGTTGAAATTATTGGTAATAACATGATTTATGATTATTTTTGCAAGTCCATTGTCAATAATGTCACAGCTCTGTAATTATAAGTTTACTAATTAACAATTATCTGTACATTGTATTATATTTCAGGTACATACAAGTTAGTGGTTCATTTTAATGTAAAAATCCGATGATGTTATATATGTTATATGAGTGTTACTTTCTTGTTAAATTTTATTATCGTGGCCTCAATAGGTTCCATGCGGTTAAAGAGAAGTGGTTGGTTCTTCCAATGGTGATCAAGTCTGGATTCAAATACCATGCGTATACCTACATAAATTTTTTGATTATAATTTATTCTCGCTTTGGGGGCGTGACATTACTCGGTTTTTACATAGGTGTCTACGGCAGACGAAAGTTAAAAAAGATAAAGACAAAATGGTCAGTTTACACAATACTTGGTACAGTAAATGGGATAAAATATGTTACACAACAGACAAATTACAAACCATGTTTCACCTAACGCTTATGACAATTCATCCTGGACCTTGTAATCAAAACCAAATGCATGTCTTGGTAATCAATAAAAGAAAATATCTAGCGACGCTTGGACACGATGAATTGCATCCAAGCTTTTACCGGGCCATATTTCTTTGAGCTCTCTGACGAATCTGAACAGCGACAAAAAGATAAAACGCATAGTTAGGTGTACAATGTTGGCTTATGAGTATGGCTTCAGCTTCAATAGGTGTATGGTTAAAACTGCAATTTTAGTATAACCACAGTTTGGATATGAGTATGAGGCGATCTGAGAGTATTGTATAGCTAGTATTTCCAGGTTATAGTCAGCGCTGCAGATATGCTACTACCCTATTACTGGACCAGGGAGAAGTCTGAGTTTGATTTGTCATCAGCCGTACTAGTCCTGGTATACAGACAAGGGCTGGTGTGGGTAAGTCTGAACCTGATCATATTTTCTTATTGGACAGACAAAGTGTCTAGAAAGTGTCTAGAAAGACTGGTTGTAGAAAGTCTCATGCATGAAATCTGGTTCATTTATCTCCAATTATACTTAATGCAGTTGATTCAGAATCTAAGGGGCTTTTTGGTTTCCATGATATATACCGACTACTGATGTACAACACAATGTTGCGAGAGATGAAGGTTCATAAACAGTACGAGCTTTCCTTGTACTTTTCACGGATCTCCACCATAATCATTTCTTTTGTTGATATCTTGTTATAAATGTCACCGATTTCCATTTCAAATTACAGGTTTGATCATATTCAGGTATTCGGTTTTTTATTAGTTCTGTCATGAAATTCATTTCATTTGTCATCCTGCGTCCAAGTCTGTATAAAAAAAACTGGTGTGAGTAAATCTGAGTTTGACTGATATGACCAATATATGCTGCGTTGCAGGTAGAGAAAATCATGCTGGATTTGTCGTTTTGTAGTTAGGACTTGCATGCTGTATTTGACATGTCATACATAGAGACATGTATTCTATATCTGATTGTATTGAAGGTGGGTACAATCGCCAGTCCACTGATGCCCCTGGCAGGTGCCATTTCCTGCCTTGTGTTTTTCTTCACCAACTACAACATTGTGCGGTGTGTGTGCAAGCCTCCCCTGAAGCGGTGGAACCAGTCCCGTAATACCCGATTCCTGATGGGGTTCCTTCTCATCACCCTTGCAGCTGTCATACTTCCTATGTCCGTGGTAATAGGCAGGTATGTATTCTTCATATCAGACTCTTTACATGTAATTCTGTTATTGAAAGTGTTCAAAGTTTGATTTTGATATTGACGTCTATAAGTGTTCAGGAGCATAACAACGGGTCCATCTGCAACTGAAGCTATTCCATTGCCAAAGCCAGGAACATACACTAACAGAAGAAAGAAAATGTTATGGTGAATAATATTTTTTTCAACATGAAACTTAACACACAAAAAGTGTACCTTCCTTAACGGGTGAATGCGCTTTGTGCACGTGCATTTTATTGTCCTTGTGCAAGTAGCAAATCAGTTTGACAATTTTACCGACTTTGTTACTATTGTGCAAGTATTTACATCCAAAACAAAATATTCCTGATGAACTGTTTTGTTTATTGCTATGCATAGAGTGATTGAAATGACTGCAGCCATGATTCAGGCTGGTGTTAGACAGCATTCCCGCCCTGCAATGACGCCATCATGTTGCACAATCTTGCTTGGTGCAGGAGTCGTCTCCGTTTTTCTAGACGGGATTGAGCGCGTATAGTGTTGCTCCAGAGTGTATCGTCGTTTTGGATAGCGTGTCGTAGACATTTGTGTCGTGAAACGTCTTTCTCTCAGCGGAAGCAGAGTGATTGTCTGAGGCGGCATAACATCGAATATCAGAACGTCTTTTGGTAATTAATCTTAATTTGGCCTGTGCATACTATCGCGATGAAATCCTGCATTCCCACGTCATCTCGTTCATGCAACATCAAGCTACGCTGCAACATGACAACGTACATGTGGCACACGTTGTGACGGATTTCCTGACTGAGTAAAATCTGGATGTGTTCCTGTGACCTGCAGTATCACTTGACATTTCAACTATCGAGCAAACTGTCAAATGAGCATGTGCCATTGACTGAGCTCTCCCGTGCATTAGTTCTCATATGGAAAGAAAATCCCGGTGCTTTTTGGATCCATGTGGCGCCGTTGTAATGCGTGCTTTTCTCTTAACAGTGGATATAGCCGATATTGACGTTGTGAACTGGCTCAATTTCACTTCGTGTTTGAAGCGCAATGAAATGGGTGTTCGTTTGTCAACTTTGAATGAGTCGATCTTCGACGATGAAATGTCTTTGATAATTCTGAAACAGATTGTTACTGTGTATTTTGAAGTGGTTTCTTTTTTTCCTCAAGAATATACATGTATTTACATTTTCTTTCGTCACTTAATACCCTCCCTAAATTGATTCTACTTTTCAGAATATCTCAAAATATACTGTGGCCCATAACCGAAGTAAATATACTTTACTTGGTTAACGTTTTCTAACCCTGAATTTTTCTAAAAATGATGAATAAAATCTAATGTTCAAATAATGGTCAAAATGCCTAACGCAGTATGTGTAAACCGAAGACCAAAGGTTAAGTCTTTCAATGTCACCTGGATATTTTAACTTACTTTTAACCAACAGGGGTTGGACAAAATACGGGAAAGAACTGAACTCCCAGGGCCTATAAAGGAAAAGGGTTTAAATCTTTGAAATCGTCCTTGGTTTAAATGTTTTATAGTATTTGGAATGAACATTCAAAGAGGATTCAATAAAAAGAATCATTGGCGACAAGAAGACAGGGGAAAGGACAACGAGGTCCATTAGAAAAAGCAGCAATTTTATAATACTACTCATCAAGTATGTCTGAAGAGATTTTTGCATAATTCATAATGGAACATTAACTTTCCAATGAGATTCAGTTTTGAATAATAACAAAATATGAAAGCAGAATTAGGCAGATGGGCAGGATCCAATATGAGATGTGAGAAAAAGAGGCAGCTTTTTTTCGACCTTTTTTTTCAAGTTAATTCGGAAAAAAACTAATGCAAGTAATACTGCTAAACTTTAAAAAAAAAAATTGATACGAATTTTCCTGTTTATCCTGAACCTACACACCATGTTGTCTGTCCATCCTATGTAAACTTCATCCGAGGTATGTGTCCTGTACTACACCTAGTACATTTTGTATAACCAAATATAAAATATAGTGTGTAAGTACATTTTGGAATGGCATTGTATCCCATACGAAAGGTGAGTCACTATAGTCATACGTTGACCTTTTGACTTTGTATCATTAAATATATTTTTCTACAAGCCTAAAAAATATTTATTGAGTTTAGCAACCCAACTATTGCATTGCCTCAGAAACGTAGATACAAGAAATGTATACGGTGTCAGAAAAATATAATAAAAAAGTACTTCTTATTGGCTGATAATTTTATTTTTTTAGCCGAGACTTGATCCATCTAGGTCAAACCTCGTTCCCCCTCCGATACTGTGGACCATTTGCTGGGGGCCGCCCAACTGATGCCTACAGGCGCTTTGTCTCCGAACTCGACAGCTGGCCGGGTCAGGTCCTAAAGTGGTTGGGCTCTGATATCGTAACCCTTCCGCTAGTCCTCATTATTATGTAAGTAGACAAACCTCACTCTAGTCTTCTTCATCATGTAAGAAGATTAACCTCTTACTGTTTCTCATCATCACAAAGGTATGTGATCCTCATTTGTTATAATAAGTAGGTCGCTCTCTCTCTCTGATCAAGTAATTACATTACACGAACACTTACCTTCGTTATCGTGTAATGAGTTCACATTCATTCTGATTTCCATTTTCATTTAAGTAGGTCACACATTCTGTTTTTCATCAACATGTCACCTTCTTTCTGGTTCTTATATTGTAAGTAGACTATGCTCCCTCTGGTCCTTATCGTGCATTTAGGATATACTTTCTCTGATCTCATCATTACAATGTAAAGCGTAAACGATTTGGTTGAGATTATATTGTGTAAGGCATAACCTGGCTTTGTATCACAGAGCAACATTGAGCTACCAACGGAAGCTTCTGTCAGGGGAAAAGCATTACCGGGTCCTACTCCAGGCAGAACTGCAGCAGGTGAGTAAATCAACGACTGGTCAATGTCATTCTAAATACTGTTTAACTGGAAGTTTTATTTTACTATGTAAATTTGAATTCTGGGGGCAGTGGAACTTTATTACAAAACATAAGCACAATAATAAAAAATAGTTTCAATGAAATTGGTTATAAAAGTAAAGCGTATGAAAGCTATCACAACTGACCTAACATTGGTATACCGCAATACACGGGTATATCGTACCGTATCGCAATACAGAAATATTCTTAAATTACAATATCTTTACAACAAAAAGTTAGGTTTTAACTTTTCAAATTCTTACTAACCAATATGCCGATATTCTCCGCAGTTTTACTAGTGCTTGGAATCAGTTGTAATTACATAACTGATGATCGGTTTAAGGAAAATATTAAGCTTTTCTGATCAATATAATCTGTAGGATTCAGTCTGACAGCGATATCACAACCTATTCTTCTGACATAAAGCACCATTTTCAGAAAACCTATCAATTTTCCTACGTGTTTTGGTATCTATAAAAGTGCATTCCTTCCGTTTTCCAGTATATAGTAATACAGTAAGATAAAAAGAATAATGTGCAAAGTTAACGATTTCCTCTCATTATCCTTTCTGTACTAAAAGACAAATACATTTGCAGTTACATCATCAACTTGTTATATTCCTTCCAATCAATGGATAGATTTGTAATTGTTGGATAATATATATGAATCATTTAAAATAATAATTCTGTTATAAAAAGAATATTTTTATTTGTTTAAATAGGAGAGAGAGGATAACCAGGAGCTCATCAAAAAGCTCCAGGTCGTCGGTATAGGAATGTGACATGGTCTGTTACTGAAGAGGCCATAAAGACTTGGAAGGGGATGACCAGGAAGAGACAAACACAAGGACCCATCCGTTTGTTTGACTGTAATGATAGCATCAACTCCGTTAATTCTTCGCTCATATTGAGTTGTTCAACAGCTAGAAATGTAGCAATAAGACGCAGTGTTCAATTATTTCTTTTTATATTCACCATGACAATAAAGTGTCTTTACTGAATTATTTCAACTGTGAATAATACAAGTATCGAAAACATAACATGAGCAAACACTTTAAAGTGACGGAACATTGAGCTTGGCCCTCAACTCCAGCAAGCCATTAACTGTGAAGGGACGTCTACAGTGATAAAACATAGGTTTCGCCTCAACAACAACAATTCCTCTACAGTGATAAGACATATGATTTGGCTCTCAACAATAGCAAGTCCTCTACAGTGATAAGACACAGGGTTGGCCTCAACCACTGCAAGTCCTCTACAGTGATAAGACATAGGGTTGGCCTCAACCACAGCAAGTCCTCTACAGTGATAAGACATAGGGTTGGGTTCGCAACAATAGCAAGACGTCCTCTACAGTGATAAGACATAGAGTTAGGCTCTCGACAACAAAAGTCCTCTACAGTGATGAGACATATGGCTTGGCTCTTAACAACAACAATTACTCTACAGTGATAAGGCATAGGGTTGGCCTCAAGCACAGCAAGTCCTCTACAGTGATAAGACATAGGGTTGGGTTCGCAACAATAGCAAGACGTCCTCTACAGTGATAAGACATAGAGTTAGGCTCTCGACAACATAAAGTCCTTTACAGTGATAACACATAGGGTTAGGCTCTTGACAACATAAAGTCCTCTACAGTGATAACACATAGGTTTAGGCTCTCAACAACAACAATTCCTCTACAGTGATAAGGCATAGGGTTGGCCTCAAGCACAGCAAGTCCTCTACAGTGATAAGACATAGGGTTGGGTTCGCAACAATAGCAAGACGTCCTCTACAGTGATAAGACATAGAGTTAGGCTCTCGACAACATTAAGTGCTCTACAGTGATAAGACATAGATTTAGGCTCTCGACAACATAAAGTCCTCTACAGTGATAAGATATAGGGTTAGGCTCTTGACAACATAAAGTCCTCTACAGTGATAAGATATAGGGTTAGGCTCTTGACAACATAAAGTCCTCTACAGTGATAACACATAGGGTTAGGCTCTCGACAACATTAAGTCCTCTACAGTGATAACACATAGATTTAGGCTCTCGACAACATAAAGTCCTCTACAGTGATAACACATAGGGTTAGGCTCTTGACAACATAAAGTCCTCTACAGTGATAAGACATAGGGTTAGACTCTTGACAACATAAAGTCCTCTACAGTGATAAGACATAGAGTTAGGCTCTCAACAACATTAAGTCCTCTACAGTGATAAGACATAGGGTTAGGCTCTTGACAACATTAAGTCATCTACAGTGATAAGACATAGAGTTAGGCTCTCAAGAACATTAAGTCCTCTACAGTGATAAGACATAGGGTTAGGCTCTCGACAACATTAAGTCCTCTACAGTGATAACACATAGGTTTAGGCTCTCAACAACAACAATTCCTCTACAGTGATAAGACATAGAGTTAGGCTCTCGACAACATTAAGTCCTCTACAGTGATAACACATAGGGTTAGGCTCTCAACAACAGCAACAACCTATTTAGTGGCAAAACTTAATGTTTGACAGTCATAACCGCCAAGTCATTTATATATTATCACGGTGATAAAACTTTGGGTTCGTCAGCAATCAGTTTAAAGATGCAGTACGTAAGAAATATGGTTCCTCAGTAATGCCAGTAATCCCTCTACCATTTACCATTGTTGGGCGAAAACTTCCAATACCAGCAAAACTTGTTATTTGGTTATTTATGTTGTGGTGACAGATCCCCAAAACTATATGTCCAATAATGAGTTCGTTCTTGTGAAATAAGTTGATGGTATATTTGGACATATGACGTTTATGTGTAAATTTAGGACATGGATCAATATTTGAAGAAAAAAATCACAAAGTATGTTTGATTTTCATATTTATTTTACTATGTTATGTGTCTAAATATAAATGCAAATATCACAGTGAGCCATGCAGCCACAGGTTTCATTTGGTCATGCGCTATATATTTGTACAATCTACGTTTCAAGTCATTAACTAGCCTGAGTTTCCTCTGACACCAGACTTGGACATTATCTGACTTCGACATTTTGACAGATAGATGTCTGGTACCAGTATCTATCTGTCCAAGCCTGGTTTCAGGGTCTGAGAAAACTTGGGCCAGTCATTAACAAGACACAACCACAAATGCTTTAAAGGAAAGTATGTACCAGTTTATATTTAACATTCTTCATCAGAAACAAAACTTGTTTAACAAACGCTGAATAGTTATTATATAATATCCTATTGAATCACATCAACTGTAAAAGATTTCTATCATTCATCAATAAAACAACACACTTATAAGCTGTTAAGCTGTTATAAAATATGCCTTTGACAACTAAGTTTTCTACCCAGTACAATACCGCCTTGATTACTGAACCTTTCTGTCCAGTAAAACAGAACATTTCTGTGTAGTATATTCCGTCTTTGCATATTGCAGAGTTATCTTCTCTTGTGAGCAGGTATTGATTGTTACGTCATTGGTTTGCGAGCATAACGTCATCAATTTTTGAGAACGATGTAATTTTGTCACACAAACCAATGACGTAACAATCAATCCCTGCTCACAAGAGAAGATAACTCTGCGATACGCAAAGAAGGAATATTGGATGATTCATTATCACAGTATGAATTGAACATTGTGATACCTGATGCAATATGACTGATAAGAAGCTAAAGATCTCATTCAGCATTTAATAAAACATTGTATGTCGGCCATTTTTCAGAAATTTCAGATTTTTTTCACTATTTAAAAGTTTCGAAAGTTGGTCAAGTACCTTGGTCCTTTCGCCTTTTATCATAAAAAGTAGTTGCAACCCTGCATATTGCAAACAAGATAGACATAATACATGTACTAGACTTTTCCTTGAATAAGTAATTTACACTAAAAGATATCTTCCAGTTTCATAAAGCATCTTAGCACAAGTATCTCAACATAAAAAAGTAATGTTTAACAATCAGAAACCTGGGCTTTTTAGACATAATTCAGTGAAAGCAAAACAGATCTATTAAGAAAATAATAACAATAATACATACTAATAAATATATGTATATATAGACATGCTTTGGGTAAGTAAAAATATTCCATACTAAAAATACTTGTTAAAACTATGCATCATATGTATATGTAATGCCTTTAACATAATAATGACATGCATCATATGTATACATGTATGTAATGCCTTTAACATAATAATGACAAACTCGCATCAGCTGGAGGACATTTGCATTGCGTATTCACTTTATATATATATAAGTTACATTTCTTTCAAAAGTTCAGGAACTGCTATCACAAAGATTTGTTTCCCCATATATGAAGTTATATTGCAATTACAACCTGAAATGCTGCAAGAACATAGGTCAAAAAGCTGTTCATACAGATTAATACAGCGCTTAATTAACTTCCATACAAAACGTTCCGAAACTGAAAAACACCAAACGAAATTTGTTTAAAGTATGGAAGTCATTAAAATTTTGCTGAAATATTATTGGGACATTCCCCCCAACACTTCCTACATTAGATAGACTAACAGGTAAATCACTGCTCTTATATCAATTGGACATACAGGCCTCACACCATGTCCTGCAGGAACATCAGCTGTACGTCTTCCTACATCAGGCTTCACCCTTTAGGGAAACTTTCCACCAAAGTTGTAGTAGTAAACCGATATCTTGGTTATGCCTTGATATAGGCACACACAGCAGCTACACTGACATACAGGACAAAAGTAAACCCTGCAAGTGTCTGTGTGAAGGTGCCTGGTGACGTACAGAGTTTGAGTGACAGGTCAATTAGTGTAACAACCATTACAAGCGTCATCATAGCGACCAGCGCTCGCCAACAGCCTGTAAAAGCGACACGTGCCTGTTCACCTCGGATAATATCAAACATACCTCCCCAACGCCCCTTCCTTGGTGGAAGAGGAAGAAATGCAATTTTGTTACGTATGTTTTTTAGCCCTCCAAAGTGAAACAATCTGTACTGCCCAGCTTTGCGGAGTTGGCCCGGTGAGAAGGAGGGTTGCTGATGTGTGAAAGTCTTGCCAGCAAGGCCCTTCTGACACTCTGACACACTTTTCTGATACCGCTGATATGTGTCAATGAGCTCAAGACTTATGTCACCCTCCTCCAGATTTTCCAGAAAGTGGATGCCACGCTGGAGCTGATCCCTGTAGTTGGACAGCTGAGAGGAGTAGTTTTCTAGTGCTGGAACACTACCATCTGCTGTAATATTGCTTATGAATTCTTCCCCCTGGGCATCAATCTCAAGAGTGAGGGCCCGTGCCTGAGCACGCACCGCACGTACACATGCCTCCCGCTCCTGCAGGATACTGGTACGGAGGTCAGTTACTTCCCCCATCACCTTGTCAACCTGCACCAGCTCCACCCCTACTGTATCTAGCTCTGTCTGTAGCTCATGCTGGGCTGACCTTAGTTTACGTCCTAGAGGCTGGGTACTGTGCTGCTTGTGATCCTCGCACAAACAAGTCATGCACACAAGAATGTCACACGTCGCACAAAACATGTGCAGTGCCTCTCCTTCATGCGTAGAACATGTGCGCTGTGATGACAGCATTGTACCTATATTACCTGTCTCTATCCTCATAATGTTTGCCTCCTCCTGGTTAGCATGGCTAAACAAACGGTGGTCGTGGATACAAAACTTACAAATGTCAAGGTCACAGTTGATGCAGCGATACTGCGACACTAGCCAGTCACGACGACACACATCACACACACCGAAGTATGGCCGTGCTCCGATCTCATCCTGGATGCAGTTGATGTAGAAATTTGGTGGGAAGTCTTTGACCCCTCCCCTAGGCACGCAAACATCACTCCTGTAATACACAAACAAATACAAACATAAAGACACTACATTCTTGTTATTGCAGCAACAACTCATCTGGCCGTCATAATGTTAAGCCTTATCAATCCTGCCACCATCAATTGGTCTGGCTGTCCTGCTGTCAAAATCATGGCACTTTTCCTGGGTACAAAAATGGCTGATTGTATTTTGGGAACTAAGGTGATTGATTTATCTACAAGAGCACTGGTCATGGTTTAAATTTTATTCCATTATCATAAATCCAACAAAGGTTTCAAATTATTTCAAACTGAAAATAAGCCAAGTATGAAGAAAAGTATTTCTTTATAAATATACTTTAAACTTGACCCCCTTCCTGGAATAAAATGAGTGACCCAGACTAATGAAATTCAAAACATAACAATGCCTCTTTACACTGTTTCATCAATGAATCAAGATTCTAGCATATATCTAGGTCTAGAGAAAAAGGTTTTTGAAATTTGATCCAATTGGATCTCAAGTTTCCTACCCTACCCCTCATGTATTAAAAGTTATTAGCTAATCTGATCATTTTTGGCCCTACACCTAATTATAAGGCCCTGGGGGTGAAAAATGCATAAGATTCACTATTTGGCGTGTCTTCAGAAATGGAAGCTTCCTAAAAAACTACAATAGGTTCAATGGTTTTTAAGAAGAAATAAAAAATAGAATATTTATGGAAAAAACGACAGACGAAATGCAACCGCAATAGCTAAGTGACAATAAATCTTAAAACTGGAGACCTCATCCTCTTACACAATATCTGCACCCTTGGAATATGTCCTGACGAAATCAATGGCTTGTGGTGATACATATGTACAAGTTTGATCCTTTGATGGACATCAAAAGAAATATGAGGCAGTATAAGGGTAACATTGACGGGCTTTTAAGTCAAGTGTTGCTTCTCTGTAATCTTCAAAATACAGGTACAGGTATCAGCTTGAAATTTGTCAGGGTTTAACATTTAGACCCGAGACCAATAATGTAGCTGCATGCCTTCAATTTTGCAATGACATATTCAAGGGGTGCATAGAGTGCAAGTGACCATATCACCTCTGGTAAACCGAGGATGAGGATACCTAAAAAGTGATTACCCTCTGTATCTAAATCTGGTATCTCAATCGTCTAGACAGATGCTCCAACTAACTTGAGTTGTACAATGAACCTGGTAACAATTAAGCTACCTTGGCATAAAACAAAATCAATATCCATCATTCAATGTGGAAATCAGTAGACCTATTACATAATTACCTGCATTGTGGACACCTGAAAAGGCGGCCAGAAGAGGAAGAGTGACGTACGTAATCCAGCAGACAGTTCAGACACACCGAGTGGTGACAAGGCAGAATGCGTGGGTCCTGGAACTCGTCCATACAGATGGGACACTGGAGGATCCGCTCCCGCAGGCGCTCAATCTTATCCCCTTCAACACTCTTGTCACACTCCATACTGACAGTCCTGTACAGCAAACCAGTTTTTTTTACTGTAGACATGCATGTATATGTCAGATGTTGAAACATGATAAACCAGAATTTAAACTGTTCTGGAACATCCTCCACATTTTATTCCACACAATTGAGCTAACCTCATTATCATTGGATTTAGTTGAAAGAATAACGCCCTTTTTTACCCCAAGTGTTTACAAGAACTTTGTGTTTTTATTCCCCATCTCAGTAATAAAATTGTAACTGCAAATGAGTAACTGTTACCCAAATTCCATGTTGCAGGATTATTTATTTATTTTGTGCTCAACGTGTTATAACCTATCTGTGTATTGTTAAAGGTAAAAGCTTCCTGTGATTTACCCTAATCGTTCCAATAATTGTAATAATGACCCCAATACATGCTTTTATTTAACATAACGATTATCCTCGATATCCAGGGTTGCAGAGAGTGAAAGTGAGCGTAACACCTGGATATCGAGGACGCATATAACGGTTGAAACCATCACCATGTCTCGTGAAAATCAGTATTGTACACGTGTGTCTTTGAGATAGGATTTTGAGACACTTCAGTTCCTTTGTCGATATGACTGCCTGTGTTGAACCAGAGACCTGAAGTAAAGGTCCCGTTAATTTAGGTCTATGGTTGAACTTGATACTTTACCTTTGTTTGTGAAGCTTTCGCTGTGTATGTTCTAAGACAATCTAATTCTCCCCATGACCCAAGATGTCGGCTCACGTCAACTCCCCATGACCCAATATGTCGGCTCACGTCAGTTACGTCTTTCCGTTTCTTGACCAGTGATACAAAGATTGATAGCTTGCAATTTGGCATTGCCATCAGTAGAACAGTGTGAGTCATTTGTCCTTAACAATTCACGCACTTCATCCCTAAAAGTATGCGACTGAAACAATCAGGCTCTACTTTCGTTTTAGCCTTATATGCATGATGCACATGGTCGTAAAAGAACAACTCATGGACATGGGACATGTTGTGATATTACATTGTTAGTTAATAATATAGTACCTTAAAACCACAACACTACTAGTTATGGTTCTTGCTTTTGAATAACCATGTCATCATAAAAACAACAAATCACACACTCACCCATCTTTCGCCTGACAAGTTAATGGGACATAACTTTTAATAAATACAAAATATTCATAATACACAGTTGAAATTCCCCACACTACCTATCTTTTACATTGGATATATTATTATGTTACCATTTCTAACATCCCGTAGATTCTGCTGGAGATAAAGAAAAACCTAAGCAAATGATTAATCGTATGTGGACTATAGTTACGGAACACAGTAACCATGGCATTGAAGATAAAGACTTATTTTAACATTAATTAGAGATAATAATTTAAAATATTACTACACATCAGTATGTTTCTATAAATCAAAAGGTTCAACGACCGAGTTTCTCATGACTAATCTACGTTATACATGTAACCACGGACTTGTATAGCAATCTTATTCTGTGTTATTACTTAAAACTAAATTTCTGATAGTTTGATATATATGGAGATATCGGGTATTCGAGTGCATAAAAAACCCCACTTAATTTATGAATTTCAAACGATTTTTTTTTACCAATTTTGATTCTTTACATGTACATTGTATGTAGCAGCAATAGCTCTACAGAGCATATGCCACCTTATTTTAAGAAATTATAATTTATGTCTGTATGTACGGACTATTGAAGGCATGGCGATGTGAATTTATTGATGAATGTGTATTGTCTTATGTTTTTGTGAAGACTTATGACATGACATAAATTACTCAAAAGACATTGTCATATACGTTATAATAATAATAATGATAATAGACGCAGGCATAATGCCTATTTATCCAGATCACAGAGTTTAACATCAATTTATATGATGACGTCCCGACTATGAATAAGTTAATTATTATCTACATGTATCTCGTTGTTAAAAAAGCATTCAGTTTGTCCCCAGTGTTTATCCAATCGGGATTCAATTGTTTTGACTGACTGTTGCTGACGTAACTACGCCATCTGGGGGGAGTTACAATGATTAACAATCCGCTCACTGAAATAATATTTCCTCAAGTTTAGTCTACTCCTTCGTTTTATTAGTGTCAGACTGTGTCCTCTTGTTCTTTTGTTATTATTTGGAATTAAAAATCCTTTTGTGACAACTCGATCATATCCTCCATGTGTTAATTTATATACTCATGTCTCCTCTCAACCTTCTAAATTTCAGAATCATCAGTCTGTTTTTTCATAGCTTAGACCTTTCATTCCCGGTATTTGTTTCGTTGCTCTTCTCTGTACATTTTCGATTTTATTTATATATGTTCGTAAATATGGATTCCATACGCAGGCCCCATATTCCAGGTGGCCTTACAAGTGCTTTATATAAAGACAGAATGTTGTATCATTAAATACGGATGGTTTCCATTATTCTATTTGCTTTGTTGACCGCATCATGAATATGTTCGTTGAAATGTCAGTTATAATTCCAAGATCCCTTTCTTTTGTTATGTTCTCTAGTGTGATATCGACTCTTGTATAGAGCCCTGTTATTTGCCTTCTTTCTTAATTGCAAAACTTTGCATTTGTCCGCATGGAATTTTAAAAACCATTGATTTGACCATTTTTGGAGTTGATCTAGATCATCCTGTAGATTTATATTATCGTTATAATTGAAAAGAGCTATGGTGGAAAACTGCCCATATTTCCCTAAGTCGGCATCTATGAAAACGGAAAAGAACCCATAAATTAGTAAATAGTTTATAGCAGAGACAATGCATAGAATAGAGATAAAACCAATTGAATTTGAATTTTTGAACTGTTGAGATATTAGGTATTGTTCATATAATACTGCAAATATAGCCATATCCACTATATCGACTTTCCCATCCGAGGACCAACTTTTGAATAAGCTTTTTTATTCCGTGATGTAATATGCAAAAACAAATCGTATGACGGAAAAGTGGTCCTCCTTTGTGAAAGTGCTCAAAACAATGAAAATCAGGGGTTAGCGAGTTTCTTAAACTGCGACAGGTGTTCTTGGGTTAAAATAGTGTGTATTCCTCGTTTGTGACCGATGCGGCCGAATGAGTAACGCAGTTAGCTTGTGACCAGACAAAGTAAACGGTGGAAGTTCGAATCCACGTTCAGGTTCTCTTTTTATTTATTTTTTTAATTTATGCATGTGATCCTTAATGAAGTCATAAAATATTTTTTTCAAATCAATGGTACATTTTATTTAGGTTTTAATAATATACCTATTGATTTATCTTCTTGGGAATCATGTCAACAAATCACTGTACACGTGTACAGTACAGCTACGCTTTGCAAACATCATTTCAAAAGATGTTTATGAATTGTTTCACCCTCGAATTGGCACTGGTAATTTTATCTATTAATCAAACACAAACAAATGATGCCATAATACAACAAATGTGGGATTTTTCAGTCAAAAAAAAAAAGGCCAAGCAAAAAATATGAAGTGTTATTATCGCAAATATATTACCATAATTCTAAACATTTTCTTCAGGTTGGTAAGTATGGATTATGAGAAGTTCTTTGTACACAACCAATAACATTTTCGATGTGACGTTTCGATGACTAGTACGATATGTACACTGTCACCTTCATCAGACAAATGACCAATGAATAACTGGTATTTAACTCCAACAGCATATTCAGGGACATGGTCTAACCCGGCATGGAACCCGTGCTGGTGACACCATTGGACAATAACAACCCTTTCCCCAAGGAGCAGCACGGTTTTAGAAGTGGTAAGTCTTGCACCACACACTTATTGGAATCAATTGACGACTGGACAGAAGCTATTGACCAAAACAAGCAAATGGATGTTATTTATTTGGACTACAATAGAAGCCTGTGACAAAGTACCGCACAGGAGACTACTACACAAAGTCAAGGGATATGGCATCAACGGGGACATATTCCGTCTTTGCATATTGCAGAGTTATCTTCTCTTGATAACAGGTATTGATTGTTACGTCACTTGTTTAAGAGAGTAACGTCATCAATTTTTGAGGAAACGACGTGATTTTCTCATACAAACCAATGACGTAACAATCAATACCTGCTCCCAAGAGAAGATAACTCTGCAATACGCAAAGACGGAATTGGGTTGGATTGCTGACTTCTTGAATGATATGGAACAAAAAGTTGTTATCAACAGATGTGAATCAAGCACATGTCAAGTCACAAGTGGAGTCCCCCAGGGTAGTGTGCTAGGGCCAGTCTTATTCCTCATCTACTTAAATGACCTACCTGAGGTCATTGGTATATCGTGCAACGGATCCAGGAGATCAGGGGCAACATCGTCAAGAAGATTTACACCGTATAAACAACTGGACGAGAACATGGATGATGGAGCTAAACTCTGACAAGTGTAAGCACCTAAAATTACATCAAGGAGCTGTAAAATGTGATACTTCATACAGCATCATCAAACAGGGGGAAGTACACAAACTACAATCTGTTAATAGTGAAAGGGATCTAGGGGTGACTTTAGACACTAATCTTAAGTTTAATGAACATGTAAACCTGTCAGTAGACAAACAGAAATGTAGGAATGATTTTTAGGACCTTTAGCTATGTAAACAAGGAAATGTTCATAACCCTATATAAGTCTCTGGTAAGACCATATCTAGAGACCTCTGTTGTAGTTTGGGCACCCATGCTTATAAAGGATAAAATATACATTGAAAATGTCCAAAGAAGAGCCACCAAACTGGTCCCTGCTATCAAAGACCTATCCTATCCTGAAAATCTCACGGCTCTTGGGCTACACACAATGGAGTACAGGAGAATCAGATCAGACATGGTACACATTTTTAAGTTAATAAATAGGATAGATAATATCAAACATGACTTTCTAAAAATCAATGTAACAAGAACAACCAGAGGTCACAACTAGAAACTAGAAAAACTTAGGTGTAGAAGTAATATACGTGGCCGTCCGTTCAAATTAAGAATTGTAAATAACTGGAATGGTCTCTCTGATCAAGTGGTAAATGCCCCATCTCTGTTTTCTTTTAAGACCAGGTTAAACAATACTTTTATAACTCATGAAACCTTTTAATAACTATACTTCCTAGTACAGCTCATTGACAGATCTGTAACAAATTAACCACAATGTGTGTAATCATACTAAATAGTAAAATAAACTCTTTTTGTATTGAGACTTTTTTTTATAACTGAATACCCTTATTTTATATGAAATTAGTATGTAACCTTTGTTATCACCCACTGCACATGTAAATAATTTTCACTAGTTTTTGAGAAATAAAGTCTTCTTCAATGCCTCCAAATGCAACCGGAAGTGAAGTGGACAGTATTAAGAAGCACCCCAAGAAGCGACTAGACGCTTACAACGGTGTCACCTGCAATGAACAATGAACCAATCAAGCGTATGCACACAAAGGTGTAAAGTGTGTACGAGTTGTCCATAAAATCGATGTCAATTTCGGCTACGCTGGAAACGTATGTACAATTGCTGTTGCTAATACCTTGTATATGTACCGAAATGACCTAATTCAGCTATGCTTTGTTAACACTTGGTCATAGATGTGCTAGAGTCTGTGAGCCCCTTCGTCTCGATTTAGAACTGGCCCACTGCGGCGTATCCAGATGGCTTCCTTTATCTGAATTGAGTCATTTTGGTACATATATATAACAACTTTTGTACATACGTTTCCAGCGTAGCCGAAATCGACATCGAGTTTATGGACAACTCGTACACATTTTTCATCTTTGTGTGCATACGCTTCATTGGTCATTTGTCTGATGAAGGTGACAGTGTACATATCTTACTAGTCACCGAAATGTCACATAGAAATGTTATTGCTTGTGTAAAAAGAACTTCTCATAATATTACCATAAATACGGGAAAAATCATCGTTTAGGACTGTCTCATTTGTTTGAAATGCAGGAATTAAAGACTGCAGCACAAATTA